ATCCCCAAGATGGTATTTGCTTACACCTAAGAAACCCCAGATATATTAATGGAACTCTGTGACATGTTTTTCAATATTTCAAAGAACCTAACAGCATAGTATATTTACACATAATAAGCCCACATACACTAGCTAAAATGTCAGTACTCTTTGCTTTGGGCTGGAACTATATTAAATCATGTGGCAATTCTGGTGATCTCACACTGTTCAGTGGTTCTCGTAAATTGTGGAAGATGTGGGAATTTCTGTGATGTGACTGCTGAGCCAGAAACCATAACAGGACCAGAGGTCAGTCACAGAATACCCAAGTTCAAGTGCAACCTTACAGTAGCTGGGTAAACTAAGGTGGAGATACAGAGTAGTGATGTGTCTGGTTATTTATAGCTTATTATGTAATTATTGTATGTGTGCAATTGCAAAACAGCTTTGTCATATTTATTATTATGGACCATTATTTAATATACGGACAATAATTACATTTAATTATTATGCATTATTATTTAACCATTATATGTGTGCAATTTCAAAACGACTGTTATATTTATTATTATGCACCATTATTTAATATCTGGGCCTAAGTTGAGATGGGAAAGTATTAATATGTTAGGAGATTTAAGAACATGGAGATCATGGAGGAGTGTGCAGGAAGGGGAAGAGAGTAAATTATAAAAGAGTTCCACAGTCGTGAAAATATTGGAACCCAAGGGGTACGTCGCATATGTCTTTCGCACCTCTCCCCGTCCCCCACCAATAACACTTAGCTGAAGACTGACAGGAACAATGCCAAAGGACTAATAATTGTGGTCACAGCACCAGTAGTCAGAGTAATAGTAGAGCAGTCACATTATGAGTAGGGGCTCAATAAATACTTTTTGATATATTATCCAGTAGACACAAATTTACTCATTTGCAATCTAAAGCACAGGAACCTTAAACATTTCAGCTCTAAATTACTCCTGAGTAGGGAAGATTCAGAGGAATGGCTTTCTGTTGGCGGCCAGATCCCTTAGTCAGTGAAGACAAATACATGAAGGCAGCCCAGGGCTTTTCTTCTTACCCGCGCCAGCCCTCCTGCAAACACGGTCTCTGACGAGTCTCAGGAGATCAACCACTGCATGCACACTGGCATGCATTCCCCAAGTCCCTGTACCCCAAAGAGGGTCTGCTCATGCCCCTTGCAGAATTAGGTGGAATGTTACTAAAGGAGGGAGGAACACACAGTGGTGGGCTGTGTTTATTTCACCCTGTCCTGGCAGCCTGTGAGCACTAACTGCTGCCCATGGGACTTACACAAGTGGCTGTGTGGGAAGCGAGAGCAGGAGAATGTGGAAGACTGGACTCCAGCAAGGAGGAAGAGAGAGGGAAATGGTATTTTAGAGCTTTACACTAATATTCTGGGAAGACTACAGTACATTGCTTAATGTCCACAAATCATCCTATCGCAGGATATTCACCACTTCATGATCTGACTTTGCTCTACCTCCCATTTATAGGTGGAGTCTGCTTCTCCACCCCCCCCAGCACCCTGGGCCAGCCTCCTGGTTTGCTTGGACCAAGAGAATATAGCCATGCAGATGGGATGCTGAAGCTCAAGCCTCGTGGTAGCTTGCAGCTCAGACCTCTGCTCTATTGGGTGGCTGCTTGCTCTAAGACACTGTCAGGAACAGTCTGTGAGAAATCCTCCTGAGAATGAGAGAGGCTCAGGTATTCAGTGTCCAGTGCAGTCCATCCCCAACCAACTGGTCAGCTAAATAGGACCCAGGGGAAGCAAGGACTGACTACCAGGAAAACCTCAGGCCAACCCACAGAATTTTCAGGATAAAACATTCTTGTTGTGTCAGGGTCTAGCATGGCTTGCTGTGCAGCAACAAATAATGGAAACAGGCCAACAAAGGAAGCTGACCCTTTTTTTCTTCTTTTTAAAAGATTTTCAGAAAATCATTGTAAGATCAGAATTGGAAGTAACCTAAGATCATCTTATGTCTGGCTGTTTCAGTGGTTTATGAGGTTAACTGGAAAGTCACCAAACATCACTTCTCATTCTCAACTTTTTGAAGTTCATTTAACTTTAACTGGAAAAAGGTTTACCCATTTTATATGAAAAGAAATATCACGAAGCCAAATTTAAATATTATTCTAATAAGACTTAACACTGAATTATAAGTTTAACAGTTTAGGGTTCAGTAACCCTCAGAATTTTTTTCCTGGGAAACCAACTATATTTGCAAAAACAGGCATAGGGATTTTTTTTCTCTGAAAATTCTCAGTAAAGTAAAAGAGAACAACGATGTGATCAAATTATTCCCAAAGCTTTAATTAAAGTCGAATGTTAAGGGAGAGTTCAAGTGCCTTAATTTTATTTCTAATTCACATAGAGAAGCATCAAAAAAAGATTCCTCCATCCTTGTTCAAATACTTCATAATAGGGCTTATTTATTTTTATTGATGTGTTTACATATGTTTATAGCAGCTATATAACATTAAACAAATATATCTCTATCTAAATATAGCAATGAGCTTGTTTTCACAGAGAATATCAAATATACAGCTGTTTCCTCATATTTACCTACTCATCAAAATTCTGGCAAACATCTCATGAGACTGTATTAATTTGAAACACCCCAACATTCATATTGTAAAGTCTTTTAATGTGTCTCTAGTGAAGCTGGAAAGAAATATATATATGTATATGGGTTCAAATGTAACAGCAAAACATGACTGTAGTGCCTACATTTGCAGCAAGAGTTACATTAGAGTTGCCATAGCGGCCACCCACACTCACACACACACACACACACAAAGGGGTGGAAGAGAAGAGAGAAAAGCAGTTAGCAGATAACAGAATCTATTGTTGAAAAGACAGAGGTACTCTTCAGTATAATTACTAGCAGGAATCCTAACTTTTAGACTGAATCGCTATTTAATGATAGAAGATTTCCGGGTGTTGGGAATATGATTAAATGTTTTTTCTCCAAACTTATCTACCATCTGAACCCTTGGTTTTAACCTTTATGGATGCTGAGATTATGCAAAAACAGGAGGGAATTCAGCTGACCATGCACGCATTAGGGCTAGTATGGCTCAATGATCTCTGGACTACTTGGAACCATTGCAGACAGGAAAATTTGTGGTTCTATGGTTCTGGACAAGTTATTTCACTTTCTGAGTAGCTGCGCTGTAAAATGAGCATAAAAATAGTACCTACTCCAAGGTGTTGTTTGGAGAATTCAGTAAATCAGCACAGATAATTAACTGTTATATAAGCAATAATAATGATAAAGAATAAGTTTTAATAATACCAAGATAAGAATTAGTAATATATTAAATAAATTAGTAAAAGTGAAGCACTTAGCATCTAATACATAGTAAATGATCAATAAATGTGTGGTATAATAACAATAATTACAATTAATAAAACATGTATTAAATAATAGAATAAAAATGAAATAAAAATACAAATAAAATATAAATGAATATAAAATTAAACTCAAAATACATAATTATAAATTATTATTATTATTACAAACATCTCCGAGTCTATCACAAATTAGAACAATATGGTTTATAATTCAGAAGTTGCTTAAATAGATGCCTGCAAGTAAGTTGCTAAAACAAATCAAGTAAGAAGTCAGACCATCAGACCAGGAACAAGACAATATATTAAGATTTTTCCAGTACATAAAAGGAATTAATGTCTTCGTCCACAGCAATGCCTCTGAAGACACCATTTTGGCAGAACAAAAAGACCAAGTATTTTACTACACTAGCACATTCTCCACCATCTCAAACCCTGGTTATACCGCAAACTCTATCATCTGTTAGTGCTGAGATAACCATGTAACAGTGTGTGTGGTCAGAAAGTATTCTGAAATTTGTCTCAAGTCATTAGCCTGAACACATATGTATATGCAAATATATTTTTGATTCACACCTAGATACAAATATAAATATCAGATTAAGATGTGATGACAATGAATGAAAGGTATTTTGTGACTTCTGAGTCACTCAAGCCTGATTCTAAACGTGATTGCATTAGCAACATTAGAAAAAGTTCCATAATTAAATAGATCTTTGAGGGTAAAAATAAGTTCAAGATTTTTCGAGTCATGTGAAATCATCAAATTTGGTTCCAAATCAGTCTTGGGATCTCTTGTCAATGAATCGAAATCAGAATGAAGTAGCTATTGGCACCACTGGAAAGGAGAATCCAAAAAGACATTTAAAATCTCTGAACTCTTAACTATAGGTAGCTGTGGAAAAGCCTATTCGGTACCCTTTTTGGAGTCCAGTGCCGCTGCTGCAAGGCGGATCCTGGTAGTAGAGGGAGAGGCTGACTGATGACAGAATGCTGGCGTCAAGAGCTCTCTGCAAGGCTTCCCTGTGCTCCTGAGTATCAGTAAAGCCCTCAGCTCGGACACTAAGGGCCAGCTAATGGTGGCAAGACAGCTGCCCTTAGACCTGGTTCTGACCACTAAAATGATGGCAAATACTCAAGAACAAAGGAAAAATATAATTTATAAGGACATTTTGGTTAGTTCTACGAGAAAATATTAAAACACTGGTTGAGATATGTTATCTATAATGAAAGAACATTCTAGAAAAAGAGGTCCCTTTTCACCGTCCCCACCAGAGAATATTAGGGCCCGAGTAGGCAGCCAAGAGGCCTGGGCAGTTCTCTTAATTGCTCTATTACTAGTTCCTGGGGACTGCTATAAGACAAATTTGTTTCCATTAAGCCCTATTTAATATACAGACAAACATTCCCAAATAGAAATGCTAATGGATACATTTTTTAATACAACCAACTCTACCCACACAAAATCTCATGAGACTCAAATGACTTAATTTTGTTCACAGTACAAACAGCTATTATTAAAAATAAATTAAATGTCCTGCAGAAAGCTGTTAATGTGACTTCCATTATGACAGGGAGAACTAATTTCTACATTGGGAGAATTAACAGAAAGGCAGACTAGGTCTGCTTTAAAGTCCTTACTTACTGTCAGATACATAGCTGCATAGACACTGAGAGCCGCTTCTTTGGATGGAAATGTCTTCCTTGCCCTCACGATGAGATCTGGGTTGCCCGTGCACGCCTCTTCCCCACTGATGAACTGTGTATACTGCTGACATCCAAGTGCTGTGTAGTTGGGCTTACACAGGGCAAGAAAATGGGGAGCCAGATTCCCTGTAACTACTTGCCCAGCATTTACGAAGATATCAGTAGCAAATAGTCCAAATGTATAAATTCCTGCCAAAGAAAACAAATTGTTTTAACTCTTTAGGTTTGTGTACTTCAGTTTACAACAGACCAACATGGAAATATGCTATATGGTTGCTTCCATTTCACTCCTCACCAGTTCCTCCCTTTACTTTCTGGAGTGGTGGGAGTGTTAAATTATTGAACATATTGAGCTGTCTACCACTGGCTACGTTTTTATGCATGGAGGTTTATAAGACATATGAGATAAAAGAATGAGATATATTCTAAGACTGTGTTTGGGTCATGTGAGTTTTAAAATGGAAACATGTTTCCCTGATACATGTCTCTCACCTTCTACTAATGTTAGCAATCTATTTTCCCCTATTTTGGAAACACTTTTTATCTTATTAACATAAAGCAAAGCAGTTATATCCCTTTGATTATGCCTCTTAAACTCATTCAAACTGATATTAACTCTGTTGGAGGTGCCAATTAGCAGTAAAACCCAATGCCATCAGTTTCATTTAGATATCATAGAAAATCTTAAGTAAAACAGAATGTGTTCAGATTAATCACTACATTACTTTCAGAAATACATTTTTAAAAGTTACATAACAGTAACTTAGTCCCATCTTATCTTTCATAATTGAGTTTTTATTTATCAAGTTTGGGGCATTGGATTAAAAAATTTGGCAATCAAAATTAAAATGTTTCCACTATCTTCACAATATTAACATTTATTTGCTTTGGTTACCTGAAGGTTTAAAATTAAAAACAGATTTCTTTGTCCTTTTTTGTTGACAAGGAACCTGCCAATTTACTCAAATCCAAAAAAACATTTTCTAAATTCAATGCCATTGGTCATTATCATTGGTCATTATCTATTCAGATAAAGTAGGAAAACTAAATTATTAGGCAATTAAGTTTATAGATACAACATTCAAGGATGTGGTACTAATGTAAAGAGATCCATTCTTCCGTAACTTTGAGAAATAAAATCCACCAGGACATTTTAAAACTATATAAAAATAATAATTCCTGAACAGTTGGTTCACTAAAAACTCATATAATTTTATTATAATACTTGGACATTTTTCTTCTTAGTCATGTATTTCTGCAATGTTTTATTTTCTAAGTCTTTACATATTATTGGCTATTGTGTAAGAAATTACAGGGATTTCTTGTGCAGTAGGGAAGTTGTGCAGTATCAAACAATTTCCAACCATTAGACACATAGCTATCCTTTTAATTTTCAAAATATTATGTAAGATTATAAAAGCTTCATACACCCAAAAAAGTATGTTTCAGAAGTATACGTGTATAAAAATGGCAATGAAACAAAGACCTTAGTCCTCTCTTTACCTAAAAATGTTAAAAGATAATGATAAAGAGCTTTTTCTTTACATCTTCCCATCATTCCAGGAGTCATACCAGTAAATGTTCTCAATAGCAGAAATTTGGGAAAGTCAGAGAAATTAAAGAGAAGGGAGCTCAAAATGTTAATGTACACAACCTCTCCTTCCAAATACCATGACTTAATGCAAGTACCTAAGTGACAGGTTTTCTTCTCTAGTTCTTTGAAATCGAGGCTACCATGCACTCATTTTATTTAACCACACCATTCTCTTTATAAGTGTAATGAGCTTTTCCTCTTTCAAATAGAGAGAAGTATTTGATAAGGATATGGAATGATACTTGTAAAGTTCCCACATGTTCTTTAGAACTAAAATGCCAGGGCATCAGGCCCAAGGTCAGTACTGTAGTTGACTACACAGATTCTTAAAGTGAAATCCGGCAAGTGTATCCACTGTGCTGAATAAAGTTACTATAAAAAATGGCTTTATTATGCAATAATGTTTTGCTTACTAGCTTTCCATTTTATTATAGCAAATAGAAACATCCAAATCATGATAAACAAGGGAACAAGAAAAAAATCAAGTACTCCAAAAATTTCATAAAATCATTTAAGAAAATTCAGTCTTGAAAGCACACTTTACTTTGCACCATATATTCTTTAGAAATATGTGTGCAAATGCAGAAAAATATTTTTACTTAAGTAGGCATAATATAATTTGCTCAACAGCATTTAGGAAAATGTCAATTTCATCACTTTTAGTTATGACTAAATTATGACTTATTTTGTTATTAAATTACTTATGCAAAGATAAATGAGTCAAGAACACAGTATTGATGCATGTGAAAAAAATTACTTTAAAGTTTCATATAGAATTATCCCTTCAACAATATAAATGACGCTTTTGGAGATGTTTAACTTCATTGCAATAAAAAGTAGTCTTAGATAAAAAAGACCTTTAATCTTCACAGAAATTTAAAGGCATGATGACATTTGATTAGTCTTTAAGTGGGTTTATATATGGATTAGGTGATCTCTGCATAGTCTTCAAACTCTTCATCATCCCATCAATATGAGAAATACATTGAAGAGTTATAGTATCGTTAATGTTAATCTTAACACTAATCAGAATTCATCTTAAATGTTATTTACTATAAACAGACATACTTTTTATATGATAAATCTAGGAAGTAGTAATTTATATTAAATTTTATTATGTCAGTTCAAAAATTTGTCTTGGCCAAGTTTCTATTGAATTAAGAGATTTTTTCAACATTCGTGACTGTTCATATCTGTGCTAGAATTCAAATTGAACAATAAAATATCAATAAAACTTCTAATGAAGTCACCAATACATTTTTGTTGCTCTGAAGTGCATGGAGTGCCACATATGGTAGTTAACAAATACAGCATTTATTTGCCAAGCTATTTTTCTTATCCTTCATTAGGTGTTCAACAACCTAACTAGATTATCATTCTCCCCAAGCACTGTTCCTAAAATTTCATAAACAGAATAATTTATTTTAATTATGTAATTTTTAGTTTCTTAAAGAATATCAAACATCCAAGTGTGTTGGTTTTTGTTCCTTAAAATAATATGAAAATCACCCCTGAAGTGGTCTTACAATACAAAAGAGACAGTAGTACACACCACTTATTTTTCAAACCAAATTGAAACATTCAAGAAAAAAATATTTGCACACAGTTAAGATGCTGATCATTCTAAAGGTTAGCTTACACATAAGCACTGTTTCAGCAACAATTCAAAACAATCCAAGGAACACATACCAAGAAACCGTACAGTTCGCCGCACCAGTGGGTTTATATAGCAACAGTCTCCAGTTAAAATAGTTTTCTCCTGGTTTTCAAAATCCCTTGTGACTAGTTGTAGGCAAAACACAGCAGTTTCTCCAACTATTATCTTGCAAGAAAATAAAAGGTTAAAGAACATTAGAATTTAACCACTGTAAACATAGAATATTTTAATTTTTTCAAAATAATGCAAAAAACCCCTCCTTTGAATGGTAGCAATTTCTATATAAAACTGAAGCATACTTGCTTAACTAAACTTTTACTTTAAGCTTATCCTTCTGCATGTAACCCATACTTCTCTCAGTTCAAGTGAGTAATAAACTGATAAATTATGAATACAAATGGACTATAACATTTTTGTTTTCTGAAAGACTTCATTAAAAAATAAAATATACAAAGGATTTTTGCTTTAAGGAAGCACTCCCTTATTTTTGGTGTGTAATTAAATTCATGTTTTATTTTTAAGAGATTATGTCTTGTTTAAATCTGACTCGGCCACAGAAATCGGAACAATTGTCTATGAAAATAGTCTTGAAAGGATCTGATATAGACAGACTAATTTAAAACTATATTAATATTTTTATAACAAGAAAGCAGATCAGTTCACTTGTGTTTGGTCTTGAGGTTATCCTTTCCCAAAATCTCATTATTCTACTCTGGGATATTATTAAGAATTATAATCTTAATAATTATAAAGATTATAAAGAAATTAACATATTCTTTATACTTTAGTGTACATGTGCCATTTGAATCTTCATATAAAACATGTGAAACAGAATATCATCACACCTCTTTTACAAGTGAATAAAATAAGACTTGGCATTCAAAAGAATTGCCCAAGGCCATGAGCAAGTAAAGAGAAAAAATATGTTCTGGTTCAAATTCTTCGCTTTACTATGCTTATGCTGATTTATTGAAGGGCCTGGTTATCTTCCACTAGTGTTGTACCATTTGCTGTGGTTTACATACATGGTCTTTAAAACCCCCCAGCAAGGTATCAGAGCCAAGCGTTATTATTCCATTTTACAGGTGTGGAAATGGAGGCTTAGGGAGGTTAAATAATTTAAGCTCCATAAGGCCAGTCAAGAGCCAAGCAGAAATTTCTGACTCAGCTCCAGATCTTTTCACTCTATTTAATACCCTGAACAGCAGCACTAGAAATAAGATCAAGAGAAAAGAAACTGATCTAGTAGTATGTCTCCTAATTTGTCATTGTTAAGATTAGTTTTTAATACATCTTGTCAAGGTTAAATAATGTACTCTATAGGAGGTCCCAGACATCCCCTGGGGAAATGCTTTTAGGGTCTTCATGAAAAGTAATATCTATGATTACAAGATATAGCAAATTATAAGGTGGAGAAGGGGGTCACAGGAGATCAGGTGTTTGACCTAATTTTACCCCAATATGAAACAGATTATGAGGCATCTATTGTTATTCTTCTTTCTACCTCTTTTTCCTATTTTCTTACTATAGCTCTTTTTCCAAGTAGGTCAGGGTTCAAGGTTAAACCAGAAGATATGCTGAATTATAATAAAGGACTCTCTCTAGTCTTGCCTATCTGGTGAAACTGGGCTGAATTAGGAAAGGCTAGAAGAGTTTATTGCCTTCCAAATCCTCCTGAAATTTTGACTTTGATAAAGTGGTGGAAGCGTGTGATGAAACAGTTGGTCCAGCCTAAGGAGGCACAAAGAGTGTCATCAGCTGCCACCAGGGCCCCGGGAGAGACTGACAAATAGACAAGCTGTGTGTTTGACACTTTTTTATCTCCCTTTCTGAATCACTCTTTTATGCCCTACCTCTTCTCTGCTGCTCCTTGGAAGAAGTTACTCTCTGAGGTTTTTGGATTTAATTTCATCCAGGTCTGTTTTGCTCTAGAATGCCACCAATTCTAACTCTCTCATCAATTCCACATGGAGCTGATTGGCTCCCTGCCTGATTCTGTTTCCTCAGCCTGCTCTTATTCACAGCAGATACCCTGGGGTCTCCACCCCCAGGCTGGAGTACACCCCAGTCCACTGATATCCCAGCTCAGTCTGTTAACACTGAACTCCCCAGAATGTAACAGATACCCAATAATTCTTACTGAATGCATGAATGAATTCCATCCTCAATAGATCCCATATTCAATGTATCAGAGGTCTTTTGACCTTTTACCTCTGCCTCTGACCTTTTGCCTGACTCCTAATAACCAACGTCAGCCTTCCTCTTGTTAAGAAGGCTCTACTCTAAGCTGGAGAGTTCCTATGACCAGACCGTGTGTGTGCTTATTCCCTGACCTGGTTTAGTTGCCAGGTTTCTACCAGACTGAGAACTGCCCTGTCTGGACCCCTCTTCCCAGTTTCCTAATGCTAACGTCTTGCCTGCATCTCAGCATATTGCATATTTCTGAATTTACTGTTTGTGTCTTTAGCGAACTTGCCAAACACTGTCTCACAACTGTTTGGTTGCTACTAAAGAAACCCACTCAAACCGGATTAAGCAAAATTGGGAATTTATTCTAGGCTTGGTGGGTTATTTCAGAACATAAGGGGATGGGGCTCAGGATTAGGTCCAGGAATGGAAATTCCTCAGGAATCCAGGCAACTCTGTCCCATTCTCTTTCTCTGGAGTCACACCGTCTCTCAGCTCAGCTCTTCCCTGAATGCCTGACTCATTCTTATCTTTCTGCAAGCCAATTCTCCTGCTTCCTAGTGTACGTGATTACCTCAACGGTTTCTAACAGCCTTGTCTTCAACCTGTCAGTTATGTTCAATTACTCTTCAACTAATCTGACTTACTAAACCACAACTCCAATTCCCAGGAGGTTCAGCTTGGGACAGGCATCTCTTGTGGTCTATCCAACCAAGGTTAAGGAGATGTGTTACAGTGTATGAAAACTGCCTCTCCAAGTAGAAAGGGTAGTTCTCAAAAAAAGGGAGTTGCAGTGATGTCTACTTCAAACTCCCACCCGATACATCTTGTTGGACCTCCCCCAGACTAGTTCTTGCCCTAGACTAACCTTTCCACCATCTTCTCTGGATACTGTGTTCTGTCTGCCTACTTGGACTTCGACGAATGTGCCTAGATGCTAGTGTCTGCGTTCCTCCGGTGGGTATGTCCGCTTCGCACGCTCTAGGTTTCCGTCCCTCACTGTGACATCCATGGAACTCCTCATCCAGAGCCTCATCTCTCTGAACTTACCCCATTCCGACCTCCTAAGTCAAAACCCCCAAAGTCAACTACTGTCAGATAAATTCAAGCAATGAAAATAAAACAATTCTTGTTATGATGAATAATAAGAGTTAGGAAGCACTGGTAGGCACTGATGTTTAAAGATGGATTTATCATCTAGTTGGGTAGAAATAATAATGGTATAAGGCTGCCCATGTTCAGTTTTGACTGGTTTGCACAATACGTGCCAATAGACTATTCAGGAAGAAGTGTCACTGAGTCACTGAGGTGGCCGTGAAATGTGCCATTGCATCTCGGGCTCCTGTGAGGCTTTTGTACTGATGGCCGTAGCTGCTGCTATTGTGGACTGACTGCTAAGTTCCTGCGAAGGCCACACTTCCTGTAGAATTCTCCTAGCTAACACCTGATCATGATGGGGGTACCCAGTGAGCTTATTCGTCTGATATGTGGATACCTCCCACTGCCAATTTTGGTTTGAAAACTCCCCGTGAGCCTGGCCTCCCCTTTATTAGAATTGTGCTGCCCTCTGAGGTGCTTCCTACCCAACCCTTCATCCTTCCGTTCTCTCACAGGAGGGATGACACCTCCCTCCGAGTTTGAAGGTTCTCCCAGCCTTCTCTGGCCTACCCCTCCCACAGCCTTTCCCCTGATAAATCTCATATATATTTAATCACACTTGCTACTGCTTCTAGGAGAATCTGAATTAACACAGCATCAAAGAAAGACAGGATGTGATCCTGATCACTCTTAAAGGAAGGGCAGTTATGAGACCGGTGTAGAGGCCCTACCAGGGAGGCGGGCTAGGAGAGGAGAGGAGGTGGCCCTCCTTCTGGTGGCTTTCAACTTGAACAGAAATGAGTGTGAACTGAGTGCGCTTCAGGGGCAGAGGCTCTGACTGGTGAAGTAAAGATCTAATTCTGTGTTCCCCAGTATTTTATTTTGGTTCTTCTCTTCTTTTCCTGTCAGAAGCCCTCCTTGGAGGACTTCATTCCCCCTGAGGCTTTACCAGCTACTGCTGCTCCAAAGAATCCTAAATATTTCTTTCAATCTTGAACTCCTGATGCAGGTCTCCAATCACCTATCACCTATCACCTGTTAAACAGCAACATCTCAACATGCTCAAATAAACACACTGAAGTCCTCAAAGCCTTCCGTCCCAAACGAAATCCCCGTCTCTCACCCTAAGCCTCTTGCTCCTCCATTTCCCCATCTCAGCCGACCACCGTCCTCCGCTTGGACACGCCATTTCACACCGTGCTGACACCTCCATTTCTCCATTCTCCATCAACTGCTAAACCACGCTGCATTTATATCTCAATTATATTTCAAATGTGTCCATTTTTTTCACCTTTGCCATTTTTAAATTCAGTCCCTCTCACTTCTTCCCTGAATTACAGCATCCCCAGAACTCACCTCTATGCTTCCGTTTTCTCTGCTCTTCAAACTACTTCCAGGTTGATATTGTGAACAAATTTATGCAATCCAAATTTCCTACTCACCATTGTCAGCATGTCTTCATAGTCAATGAAGTAACAGGAATTGTCATAAGAAACTGTTTACAGCTGAGCACAAACCCATCTTTTTCAGTTTCTGGAACTCAAACACAGCCTCCAGATATGCCATGTTCTAGTCACCACTAACCATTTTATTTCCCAACATACCAGACAGTTCCATACATCCAGGCTCTTGTACCTCGTCTGTGGCTTCGTATAACTTGGTAGGCAGGGCAGGATTCTATGTCTGAGACATAATTTAAATACCGCCTCCTCTGTCACAACTTTCTGTCTATTCCTGGTACAATCCGCTCATTGCACACTTATAATGGTCCTTTCCCATGGCTTCATAGCTGTCAGTAACAGCTGTCTCCTCCACTCAAGTGAGCGTTTCTCTGAGGCAGGGACTGTATTATATTTATTTTTAAACTTCCATATTAAAGC